TCACATATGTGCCCAGCTACCAAACTGGGGCAAAAAGTTTCTTTGTTTTGTCTATTTTTGTTGAAATCAGGTACCCACTTGGAGAATAGAGAGAAGCAGTTCAAGTTCAGCAGTCAGGCGCCCACCTGGAGAGCACGGGAATACAATTCAAGTTCAGCAGCCAGGCGCCCACCTGGAGAGCACGGGAATACAATTCAAGTTCAGAAATCAGGCGCCCACCTGGAGAGGACGGGAATACAATTCAAGTTCAGCAGTCAGGCGCCCACCTGGAGAGCACAGGAATATAATTCAAGTTCAACAGTCAGGCATCCACCTGGAGAAAGGGAGATCGTCTCAAAGTATAATTCGAGTTCAGCAATCAGGCGTCTACCTGGAGAAAGGGAAAACATCTCATGTTACAATTCAAGTCGGCAACAAAGAGATTTCACCGGGAGAACACAAATCAACAAGGCAACGAGAACCACAAGAGCAAGTTTGAAGATGTAGATAGGATTTTTGTAATGTGAAGATCATAGTCTAGTATAGCTTCTTTTTATTTTGACATGGTGTAATAAGGAGTTCAGTAAGCAGTAGCAGCAACAACAACAACAGTGAGATCACAGCTTCATGGTAGTCCCAGCTACCGAAACTTCTCGAACTACACTAATCTGATTCCTTTATAGCCAAGGATATGTAGGCAACTTCGGAAGCAGGGTGCGGTCAAGTCTTTCAAAAATTCTTCCCATGGAATATTCACACGGGCAAAAATCGCTCGTATCCGCTCACTTTATCTTTGCACGAAAACTCTTCATGTTTCCGAGCAAAGAGGGGAAGCTGTGAGTACGTGATTTTTGCCCTATATGAATTACTCCCACAAATTCAAAACATAATAATTTTTTCCATTATTTGCAATTTTGTAGATTTTGTCGCATTTTTTGTTAATTGTTTGCATTTGTTTGCGCATGTTAACTTTGTCTAATTAATAAAAAATACAAAATAGGTTGCATTTGTATTTAGGATTTAAGCCTACATTTTAGGATTAATTAACAAATTAGTTGTTCTATTAAAATGGAAAAATCACAAAAAAATAGTTTATTTGCACTTTTTAATTTTAATTTTAATTTTGAATTTTGGTAGTTTTTCCTTCAATTTGGATTTTAATTTATTGTGATAATTATTAGTTAGAGCTAATTAATTCAATGTGGTAGGGTTAATTTGATTTAGGAATTAGTTTAGGTTTTATCTTAATTTTTAATTTAAAAAGAAATAAAAAAAGGAGTTGGAAAATAAAAGGAATTAATTTGAAAAAGAGGAAAAGAATGAAAAATCAGATTTGGGCCAAAATTCGAAATTCCCTAGCCCAAAACCAATTTTCCCCACGGATACCTGCTTAACCCAGGCCCGAACCCAGCCAATACCTGGTCCAGCCCCACTTTCCAACCAAACGACGCCGTTTCGGAATCCCTTCATCTCAACCGTTGATCTCATTCGATCCAACGGACTGGAACTCGACCCCTTCCTCATATAAAACTGTCCAAACCTAGCCCTACCCCCCTCAGACCCTCTTCCTCCCATCCTCGTCTCTGAACTTCGAAACCCTAGAAATGTCGCCTTGAAACCCTACGCCGCCGCCGCCGCTGCAAACCACTCCAATCACCCATCTTAACACCATAGAACCCTCACAACCCCCTTTTCCCCAATCTCTACTCCGTTTCCTTCAAATCATCCTAGATTCCGTCGAATCTTGATTCGAAGCGATGAACCCTAAAACCCTGAATTGCTTTACCCTCGATTCTGCGGCATGCATCAGCCTATGCTTTCGATTTTCATGTTTCGAAGTTTGATTCAACGCAATAACAATGCTGTTCATTTGTTATTGACAAAGAACAAGTGGTTAGCATCAATTTCGTTAAATCGAGGGTTCCAGTGTTGGTTTCGAGTTTTACTTAGTGAGTTTTCTTTCATTTTATGTCCGTTATCGTTCATTTCATCTCTTGTTCTTCTTCTTTTCTTCTACGTCTGTTTGAGTGGACTATCCTCCGTCTAAAATTGTTTAAGAGTTTCGAACCTAGTCTTTCCCTTTAGATTAACTTGGGGTTCATTTTTGTTTTGTTGGATTTTTAGTTTTCTTTTTAAGTTCTTAATTGTTGTTCTCCGTTTTTTTATGACATTTTCTGATAATTAGCTTAAGTTAGATTTTTGATAATTTGGTAACTTAGCTCCGGCTTAGTATTTAGTTCTAAAAGAAATCAATTGCTTAGTTAGATTTTGATGTTTAAAGTCATTTAATTGTTTCTCTTTTCTGTTTCTCATCGGTTTAGCTAAATGGGTTTTTTTCGGACCTTAGGTTCAATTCTGGCCTGTTCATTTGGGGCCTAAACCATTGGGTCAATTTGACCCATGGCCCGTTTGGTTGCTTGAAAGTAAAAGGCAGGGGTTTAAGCGATATTATGGGTAATTGGCTTAGGGAATCTTGATTTAATTGCCCAAGGAAGCTTCCTAGAAACTGGGGTAGGGGCTTGTGTGAAAATCTGGACTTTACACTATGGGTGTCTAAGCAAAAATGAGAATTCCAAAAGGATTTAAGTGCAAAAACTGATTCCTCTAGGCTGCCCTAGTAGCTTGCCTATAAAGGCATCATTACTTGAGTTTCAAGGGGGATTTTGGAAGAAAAAAATCATGAAAAGCTGAAACGACTAAATCTTTTTAGAGGTTCTGAAATTTCTGCATTCCCTTGTGGAAGAACTATCAAAATTCTGCTCGTTTGGATTTCTGATTTCTCTCTGTTAGCTAAAATACTAAAAAAAAATCCTAGCTACACTTCTGGTTGAGAAATGGCTTGAGCTTTGGTTTGAAGTTGGTTTTGCATTTGTTATTCCTCTAATGTTCCATCGATTGTTATTGAGCTGATTTCACTGTTTCATTGACTGAATCTGGGCTGTTTTTCTGCTGTTGCTGTGACCTTTTCCCAGTTCATTTCATTTGTTCTGTTTGTTGTAACCAGGTACTCATCCAACCTCAAGTGGCATGTTTAAAGTGGGAATGAAATGAATATGATATCATGTTTCATATCACTTTATTTTAGAGTTTTAGTTTCATGTTCATTAAAGGCTTGTTATATGTCTATATGTCCATTTAATCTGTTATCATGGAGGTATCTGTAAAGCTATTAAGTTCATTTGGTAATTATGTTTTGAGTTGTGGGTTGATATAGGTTGATGTCAAATATATTTGACCTTTGTTTTGGTCATGTTGGTCGCATGGAGAGTGTGGTATTCAGAATCTGAGCATGAGGCTTTTGTTAAGTGAAATGATGGTTGTCCTCCTTTGTTGGATATTAAGTTTAGGCCTTTGAACAAACTCAGCATAAGGGATTGTATTTTGATATGTAGACTCGAATGGTTGTAGTATTCTGTTGAAACCACTAAAGATGCTGCTTCAAAATGATAGTTAATGTTGAGATATCCATGCAGTAACTACATATTTGCTTTCAGCTTTCTCTTTCTGTCTTCATGTGTTAAAGGAACAAGTCCATGTGATTGAGCATCTGAATGTGATTTTGAGCTCCAAGTAATTTGTATGCTAGTTTTCTGGGGGGTTCTGATAGTACTGAAAAGATGCTTGTTTAAGTTTAAGTTTATTAAGTACTCCCTCTGTTCCAGTTTATATGAACCTATTTCTTTTTTGGTCCGTTCCAACAAGAATGAACCCTTTCTAAATTTGGTAACAATTTAGCTTAAAGTTACAACTTTACCCTTAATGAGAAGCTTTTATAACCACACAAATACTCTGGGCCCCATTTGAACTTGTTTAGGACCACAAATTCCAAAAGTCTTCATTTTTTACTTAAACTTCGTGCCCAGTCAAACAGGTTCTCATAAATTGGAACGGAGGGAGTAGTAGATAGTGTAAGAAATGCATGTGAAAAGAAAAGGGAAAATGGTCGAGATTACTTTTTAAGGTCAAGGCATGCAATAATTTACTTTGGTTGGCATATGAACATGTTTTAAATTAAAATTTGTATCCGAATTTCAGAATGCTTGGTCAGTCTATTTGGGATTCAATTAGTTAGAAATGCAGAAGTAAAATGTCATGCCCAGTAGCATGTTTCATATATTCTTGTTAGGTTTACATTCCAAGTGGTTTGGTATCATTGTTTGGTTCTGAACATTGGGCTTAGTGCTGGCCCAATTGTTAAAAGTTTCACTTCAGGCACATGTGCCATGCCATGGGCGCCCCTTGCTTCTATAAAAAATTGTGTTCATTTGAGCCCAAACCTGAATGTATTTGCAAATGGATTATACCTTTTGGACTTGTTTCGTTTCAACAAAAATGCAGTTCTTTCATTTATTTGGGCTTTGGCATAAGTGCAAATAGAGTCCCTTTAGTTCTTTCTTTTCCTTAATTAACTAGTTTCTTAAAATGAATCTGAGGCGAGCCATATTAGATGAGTTATAATTTATGGCCCTCGAAAACTAAGTTAGAAATACTTTGATAGAACAATTTGAGGTGTGCCATGCCAAATAAAACCTCAAAATGCATGGCCCTCATTTAATTATTTATTTTAAATCCTTAGAATTCGAGGCGTGCCATTTAGCAAATTCTCCATGGCCCTCACAAAGTTAAAAACGCATAGTTGTTTTAGGCGCGTTATTTTAATAATATTGCCTTCCTAAGCTTGGGTGTGCATTTCATGTGACCCAAATCCAAATCTTAATAAAGTTGAATAAAATGTGTTTCGGATTGCGGGTGCATTTCATGTGGCGCGGTCCAAAGACTTGTTTTAGACGACGTTAAATCTTCTTTAAAATAAATAAAAGCGGGGTTTTTTTAAAAAAGTTAAAATGCACATAGGTTCAAAATGTTTTAAAATCAGATAATTATGCCAATAATNTACGACAGTCAGCATTTGAAAACATATAGTAACAAGTTTGGGATTAACCTTTCTGCTTTAAACATCACAGTAAATTCCACGGTCATCAATGGGACGAGTACCCCGTGAAAGAAGAAAACATTACTCTGATCTCTATTTTATCTTAATAAGAGTAAGCCAATAAGCAGAAAGAGACGGTAAGAACAAAGAAGTTCAGAGGGATTACATGATCAGCAAGAGCTATGCCACTTATAGCTGCAGCTTCTAAACTTGAGCCAAGCAGCCAGTCACCACATATACCAGCTCTTCCTTGAGGATCAAAGATGCATGGAATTCCAGGAGTGTTGGTTGGAAGAGCTGCACCCCTGCAAAAAAGTAAAATAAACCAGTCTAATATGACTACAGATGGAACTTTTTGGTATACTTCTTGTATACGGGAGTTTACTCCCTTTTGATTAATACAATTTACCTTATCAAAAAAAATATGACTACAGATGGATATCAGGAAAGAATTTCTTCTGCAATAGATTTGGTAAAAAGCTAAGTGGAAAAACCCTGAAAAGGAAAAGGGAATAGTGGCATTGACGGGATTGGCTCATTCAATTTCTACAGCAAAGCAACACATAAATCTTAGAATACATAGCCAAATCTCCAAATTCAATTGTTCGAATCCAATTTTCATTCTAACACAGGAACAGCTAGTTTGCACGACATTTATGAATATACGCCCTCAGTACTGCCCAGAACTTTTATTTTCTTTTTGAGAACAGTTTCAACTATAAAATATCCAACATTCTTCAGGAACTATAATGCATCCGTGATAAGAAATACACTCATTGCTATAAACTTTAGCAGCTTCAGAAGAGAGACACCTACTAATCACACTCCACTCCCAACTTACACTTAAATGTTCACCAACTGTTGCTTAGACGCTTAGATTGAAATGGAAAATATATGAATTTGACAGATCAATAACCTCATTGAATTTATATTTGGAAATTTATGATCAATAACAATGAAGAGAAGTCTCTATCAAGTATCACCCTCAAAAATTATAGACAAAATATGTAGGAGAAGAGATAAAAAAAAAATCCATTTCAGAGAAGGTAATATAATTGAAGTGTCGTTGCATGTCATACAGAAAATTCAATTCCATTGATCAGATAGAAGAAACTGAGAAGTGCTAAATGTGTCCTGAATAAGGATTAATTTGAATTGCTAGTGGTGCAGTATTTTTATGCCATAGTAACAGATACTAATGTGAAAGGCCTCATTTCAGTTTTCCATTATGCACAAAGCATTTGAGAAAATATGCATACTTTCTGACTAGATTATTCAACAAATCTTCATACCATAGTTGTAATCTGGTATAAAATGGCCTTTGGAGTGAACTTTTTGACAGTCCTAGAGCCTTCTCAACACCCTCAAGCATAACTTCCTTCACTCTCTCTGCCGTCGCAGCTGGAATACTTTCCTGATATACAAAATTTTATTATTCATGAGTATGTCCAATGGCGCCACTACACATGTGACATGCGTATGTGCGCACACACACACACACACCATAAGTAATCTATACATTCTTCACCTGAAAGTTCCCTCAGCAACCACTGTCCAGGTAATTCTTATGTGGCTGCTGATATAGCAATTTACGATAAATCAAAAAAATTTAACCATCTCTTAAAAATTGGCTCAGAACCAAGAATCCATAACAAACTTAAAGATCGGAAACACTTCAAAGCTTCAAACTAATACAGCTGCCAAGGGTCAAATATAATAAGCATGACTACAAGGCAGGCCAATCCAACTGAATTAACCATTGACCAACCATCACACCAGTCGATCTAGGGAGGAAATTCCTTAAGGAAAGAAGAGCATACCAAAAATTGAACTAGAGTTGGTACTTATGAAGTGAATATGGAGGTTTAGTGCTGAAGAGAATACTCTTTGAGATCAAATCCAATTGCACACTTTTGATTTCTTTTTAGTGTAAAATGGATTAAGTAAATGATGAGGAAAAACTAACAGATTTTATAGGTTACCTTGCACAATTAGGACCTATACTTGTGCTTTCAGGATGGATCAAAAAAGAAAAAGATGAACTAGATTCCTTATTGATATACAACAACGACGACGACGACCCAGTAAAATCCCACAAGTGGGTCTGGGGAGGGTAGTGTGTATGTAGACCTTACCCCTACCCCGTTGGGCCAGGGAGGCTCATTATTGATATCTACATAAAATTTAATGTTGGAATTCTTTTGGACTTTGGCCAAATCCAGGTAACATCCATAACCATGGGAATGATTGCTTAAGTTTTGCCAGGACAAGGATATGATCAGGGACAGATTTACATGGACCCAAGCGGTGTCACGGGACACCGCTTCGTCGAAAATTTTTACTATTTATATATATATAAAAATAATAAGTAAAACAAAAATACCAGATAAAATCATTAAAAGTGACACCACTTGCATTGAAATAGCTCAATAGTCTGGTGGTAGAGAGCTTCAAGTTTGCTATGAGAGGTCTTGGGTTCGAACTCCCTTGGCTCCACAAAATATTTTTTGACTGTTACGGGCCTATTGCCAGAAATAGTGACACCGCTTATGAAAAATCCTGCGTACGCCACTGGATATGATATCTTGCTGACCTAGATGGCTAGATTAATCGGGTTCCACAATGACATGTTACACAATTTGTTTCTTCAGAAACAGGGATTGTTAATAGCAGTTCAGTAACAGTTAACTGCTAGACAAACCTAGCCTATCCTGGTCAATTTCAAAGTGTGTCAAATGGAATGGTTTTTTATATGATTCTCAAACATGGTTAATTCTTAACCCATTCCTCTAAATTAGCACTATTTATTGACAGTTTGAACTTTGATCTAAGCATGGTGGGCAGAGATATTAAAACACTCTCATTTGCCAGTTTTTCCATGCATATGCTAAACCTTCACTGTGTTACCTGGTCCCTTTCAATCAATGAATTAACTCATTAAATCCAATTTTTCCAACTATATAAACTAACCCTATTTACCATTATTTATGGCTAAAGTGAAAGGTCAAGACAACAAAGCCGTTAGAGATATATATAGTTTGAGCTCAAAATATTGTCACAGAAGAGACCTGGGGGACTTTGTTCTGCTTCCCAAATGCTGCAGTGCTGAAAAATGTCCAACATTGTGGACCACTATCTCTGCCTAAGAGTTTCTTAGAGTTGTTTGCCATCCATGAGACAGATTCAACTCCTTTTACAAAAGCCCCTTCAAAGGGAAGGGACTCTGCATTTAGTGCAGTAGGCAGAGGATCCTCAAATGCAGCAAGAAGAGCCCATATAGGACTGAGTTCAAGTCTCTGAGAAAGATCATCAAAAACAAAATCATTAATTGAGATAATAAAATAGGAAAGAAGAAGAGCATCAAGTTACATATGCATTGATTTGAGAAGCCCAGCTAATATTTGCCAATACCTTCATTTGTCTAGCAATGAGAGGTAAGCCTGATGAGGCGAGCAATCTATTTGCACATTTTCCTGGTGACATGTAAAACAAAATACATTTGTAGCCAAAGACAAATCACAATTATGCAGAAGGTACAAGCAACTGTGCTTTCTCTAGTGGACTGAATGCATAAAAAAATTCCAAGAAACAACAGAACTTACAAATAAAGACGAAGAAATCATCAAAAGATGCAGGACCAGACCAATAGCAGGATGCGTTGGCAGAGGTCACGCCCTCTCCACCTCCATATATAGTCAACTAGATTTTTTTTTTTGACAACCGTGGTATTCGGACTAGCTTGCACGCACCTCGACTAATTCCATGGAATTAGTACTAGATATATTTTCTCCAAGGCTTTTTTATTTCTTTTCAATGGACTTAGAATTGGTCTGCCCACAAGGCGAATTAAACATCAAAACTCATCTAAGTATTTGCTTATATAAAATAAGGAAAATGTAAAAGGAAACGGAAGTGGATAAGTGGTGTTCTTAATTTTGCCTTAGGGTCTAATTTTGGAGGTTCTAGATTAGTCATCATTTAATTGATATATCATTTTGGTACCGGTCTAGTCTTGAAAGTGCTTAATGGTCCATGATCCTCGTTTTTTCCATGTCAATATTTGTCTTTATCTTTTGGGAGAGCGCTATATATGTTTTTGTACGTGAATATTAGTATTAAGTTGAATCTAGGAGTTCAGTAAAGCTTTGTTCTTTCGAGGCTTTTTCTTCTTTTGTTCCAATTAAATACTGAGGGGCACAGTTCAACTTTTTAACACAAAAAATTTAGTCTCCAAATTCTAATAATTATTTTATAGTAAATACACATCTCACAAATTCCATGAGGGCCAACTTCTCTTCTCCAAACAAGCATAAATCGTTATTCACATGTGTTTTCTTTATGCATATACTTATACTCTAACTTGCAAGATATTTCCTCTTATAGTTTATTTGAATAACTTTGCTCTCCCCCCCCCCCCCCCCAAACCAACACACACACAAGAAAAAATGAAATGAAATTTTTCTCATTTTGTCTCTTTGAAACTGGTTCAATCTACTCCTCAAATGGCAAGCACAAAATGTTGCAAGATCTTGTCACCAATTACACTTACACACAGACCTTTTAAGATATCTATACTTCTACTTTTTATTGGATAATGGAAACAATCTAAGAATGCTTCCACTCCTCATTGGTTACGACATCATGATGACATATGTATTCCTCTGATGCAATATGATTAAAACCTAACATCATTTATTTTCTATGAAACAGGAAGATTAATTTACTTGATCACCAAAACAAAACAAAAAAAAACAAAAAAACAGGGAGACAGATTTATGGAAAATGAAGGTTTTTCCTATTACATATAAGTTGAAAACCCGAAACACACATAATATAGTGATAAGAAATAATTTAATTTTTATTGTGGAAGAGAACAAACTGGTTTACTTCAACAACTCCTAACCATAGCAATGAGGAGGGAAGGCTCTTTGAAATGAAATATATGGGAGGAAATAGGAGCATTTTGTCTTTCACCACCAGCTCGCTATTGTGCTCATAGACAGAAGAAATGAAAGAGATAAACTAAATGAGGGTTTGATTTAGCATATTAAAAATTTGCTAATTCTTGCAAAGGAAAAGACTATCAAAAAGGCAAAACTACTAGAAAACTGAAAATAATTACCATTATGTGCAATGACAATTGCATCAAACTGCCCACAAGGCTTTTCCTTCTCACTCAAGTGCCACGTCCCGTTAAATGGTTCAAGTGTACTTACCCAACAAGGGCGTACAACATTGACCAAAGAAGTCTGCCCAAACACATCAAACTTTTATAAGATTGAGAGGAAATAGCACCCAAAAGAATAAGTACATTATTCTCCTTCCATTATTCATACAAAGCATGCATTCTCAACAAACAGAACTGAAGGGAATGATTGGCTTAGTTGAATGGATGCATTATGTGAAGAAAGATATTTAGTATATAACACAAAAAGTTGTGCACCTGAGATAGTAATGAATCCGCAAGTGGGCGCATTCCATTGACCCCTATATATTTGGGAGGCGAAGAAGGAAATGGAACAAAATGCCCACCAACTTCAAGCTCCCCAATTCGACCCTGCCATTCACGAACCAAACCCCTATTCAACCAGTCATCAACTAGCTCGGCAAACTTGGGGTTGGTCACCGTGAAGAACTGAGCTGCATGGTCAAATATCAAAGGCTGATGATCAATCATTCTTGTTCCCATTCTTCCTCCCAACCCATGTATTCCCTAAAGCAACCGAACATAATAAGATACACCAGATGCATTCTTCTATTGTGCATCATTATATAACTCTAACAAGAACTTTCAAACAAAGATAACCAACTGGACGGCACCAAATTTAGACTTCACCAATAAGAAACAATTTCCCAATAGCAACCGCTAAAATCTTCTGTTTAAACAGAGATAAGGAAGAAACAAATGGCAGACATAGTAATTGTTTTGATGAAAAACTGTTGAACGAAAATACTTGCCAGCTGTAGTTTGTTTTAATATTCCATATAGAAGCAATTACATAAAACATTAGGTAGACGACAACCAAATTTTCAGTTTCAATCCAATTAAGAGTAAAAGTAGACTCATAATGTTTTTATTGAATTCTCCTCAAACCAATCTATATTAAATGTCTATTTATTTTGAGTTGTCCAAAGTGTACTCTCTTTCTCACTACAGTTCTCCTTCTCCATAACTTTTTTTTTTTGGAATTTCCTATTTCTTTTCCAATTGCTTAAAGAAGGCAACTTTATGCTAGTTTTGGATTCAATTTCAATCAAAAACGACTAAAATAACTTCGACTTTTACCTTCAAGAAAAAAATGGACCAAAAGGAAAGGTTAAAATTCAATGTGAAATGGATGAAATATACAATTAAGTAGTTATTTTATCAGAACAGTTCGTATTCTAAACTAAACAGACAAAAGAATGTAAAAAGAGGAAAGGACATAACGAACCGTGTCGAAAACGGTGGAACGAATGCCCCTTTTCTCCAAGTACAGAGCACAGGTAAGGCCAGACATGCCACCTCCGATAATCCCAACCACAGGATCATCAGGAATTGGTTTAGTAAAATTAACTTGTTCTTGACTCAAACTTTTTTTCAAAGTTGATTTCCTTGAAGTTCCATATCTGGGTTTGTATTTTCCTGGACTTTTACTACGTCTTCGTGTGGGATTCTTGGAATTTCCTGTGGGTGCTTTGTTGTTGGAGTTCATTGGGGAAATGGGGTTGGAGAATTTGGGGAAGAAAATGGATACATTCGGGAGTTTTGGAGATTTGAGAAGGAAGAAAGAGGAGAGGAGGGGGTTGTTGCTGCAAGCGCTGGTCATTGGAGGGAACAAACGAAGGGCTCAGATATCAGACAAGACAACATACGTAGGATAATGCTAATGTTATTACTCGAGAAAATGATCAAAATGGTCCTTAATGTATGAGGGTTGGACTATCTTGGTCCTTAATGTATACCCCTTAACAGAAATAGTCCTTCATGTATACAAAAGTAGACATGTTTAGTCTACAACCCTAAACCTAACGATACACTTCAAAACTCAAGTTAAATTTAACCATATTTCTCACCTGCACTGCACACACAGAAAAGAAACCTCTCTGCACGATCAGCTTGATGGCCTGATCACACAAATAATTTCCGCAATTTTATCCAAGAGAGGAGAGGATAAGAGTGATGAGGTCCATCTCATTGAAGAAGTATTAGGCATGTGCCTAATAAAAGTTTTTCTTTGGTTTGGTAGCCAACCTTGTTGACTTGGTTTGGTTGGTAGCCAACCTTGTTGAATTAGTTTGGTTTGGTAGCCAACTTTGTTGAATTGTGAAAAGTGTGTGTAAATTGTCAAATATTGTAGGCTTTAGAGGGTGAAGCTTTGGCTATAAAAGTAGAGCTTCAACTCTCATTTTTACACACCAACAAAGAGAGAAAGAAAGAGTGAGGTTTCACAGACAAGGTATAAGAAAATAGTCTGTGAGGAAAATAGAGAGTGAGCGAAATTGTAGTGAGGTGGGAATATCAAAAAAGGGTTATTTCTTTNAGCCTATACATGTCCAAAACGCTGACAAATAAATTGTACCTGAAGAAGCAGTTATACGCCCTACACATGAGTGAAGGTACGAATTTTTTGTCACATTTAAATGTGTTTAACGGACTAATCACACAGCTTGCCAACCTCGGAGTGAAAATCGAGGAAGAAGATAAAGCCATCTTGCTTTGAACTCGTTGTCATCTTTGTACGATAATTTGGCAACAACCATCCTGCACGGTAAGACTACTATTGAGTTAAAAGATGTCACATCGGCTCTTCTACTTAATGAGAAGATGAGAAAGAAGCCTGAAAATCAAGGACAAGCTCTCATCACAGAAGGTAGAGGCAGGAGTTATCAAAGGAGTTCGAACAACTATGGTAGATCCGGAGCTCGTGGGAAGTCAAAGAACCGATCCAAATCAAGAGTCAGAAATTGCTACAACTGTAATCAACCAGGTCACTTCAAAAGAGATTGCCCAAATCCAAGGAAGGGCAAAGGTGAAACCAGTGGCCAGCAGAATGACGACAACACAGCCTCCATGGTGCAAAATAATGATAATGTTGTCCTCTTTATAAATGAGGAAGAGGAATGCATGCACCTGTCAGGTCCAGAGTCGGAATGGGTGGTTGACACAGCGGCATCTCATCATGCCACACCGGTAAGAGATTTTTTTTGCAGATATGTAGCAGGTGATTTCGGCACAGTGAAAATGGGTAACACAAGTTACTCAAAGATTGCGGGGATTGGTGACATTTGTATCAAGACAAATATCGGATGCACATTGGTTCTAAAGGATGTGCGGCATGTACCTAATTTGCGGATGTACTTGATCTCGGGAATTGCTTTAGACCGAGATGGATATGAGAGTTATTTTGCAAATCAAAAGT